GAAAACGCAGTGCATAGGATAAATTAGAGTTAATTAGGAAATTTTGTGCCACAATTGACTACGAATTAGGTTCAATTAATACGCAATTTTCTATAGATCGATCGAAACGTCCAGTAATATAGACACTAGGTATTCTTCCATTATGATTGTTATAATGTCTCTGCGATCGTGCGGTGGTAGCGCGTCCTTCTGCTAACTGGCAAGACGCATAGCTGACCTAGATCTCAACACAGAAACCTCTCAGCGTATAAATCAAGATCCAAATAAATTGCAAATGCGGCTTGAATCGTTGCCCCTGCTCTGTCCCTCGAAACGTTTCATATTCAGATTTTAACCTGACACGATTTGGAAGGAACGCCAAAACAGACCAAGACCGTTTCATAGAAAAAAAACATCTTCTTAAGCTATTTGTAAGTTTATACTTTTTCTGAAGCAACGATAATTCTCGCACTCTGGCTATCCTCAACGATATCTGTAAATACATTTGAATGCACCAGTAGGTGAAGATATCGACGTAGCACAGGGCAACCGTGCGGGTTACCCACTACTTTGGATTATGATCTATAACATTACCTTGCTTAGTAGGACCGTTAGTAGTAGTAGTAAATAAAGTAAGCGGTTTCTAGTACGCAATATAAAATACTAAATGAAAATGAATAATTTTTTTGGTCATTTGTTGCGTTTTATGGAATCTAACGCCGAGTAGGGGAATCAGAGCAATAGACTCCACTCAATACACGTTAGTTAGCTTGCCAGTCCAAATCGCGTCCAAGAAAAAAACCTATGGCCACATAATTTAGGTAAACCTATTAGCAACATGACGAAGCAACTAACCGTTAATCTTGTGTTACATTATTTGCTGGTCGTCATGGATCCCAAACCTCGAGTTTATAATCATGCCAAGTCGATACTTTGCATCGTCTGCTATCAAACCAAGCTTCGACTGAAAAAAATTATATTCTCTATTTTCGACCTTCTTATTATATTAAGTTTTGCCGTCTAAAACGATGACACGCGTTATTTACTATTTTGAAATACTTTTGTAGTTGTTATCTAAGACTATTGTTTAATCATTTAGATGAGTTAAAATTGAACTATTTAAAATCGACTTGTTACTTTTAAGTAATGTATCTTCTTTTTTTCTGAGTGCTATTTATAATTATTGTTTATTCGTTTGATACGTTCGATGCTGACCTAACTTACAAACACTGAATACGATTTAGAGGTTGCCAAAAAAGTTCTCCAAAAATACACGAGATATGTAACAAGTGTAGCAGCGACACACCGGTCTGCCAAGACGTAAGGCTCAAAATAAACGTCGAGGCACTTATGACGTACGTATGGTATTTTTGTTAGAAACAGTGGCAGCGCCCTTGATAGATTCGACCTAATTGATGAGTAGATGTTCAAACGCGGCTGCCAAATTTCAAAGGAGCGATGTTCGACATAACTGAAACAAATACTCAGTCCTACAATAAGATTTCACCAAAAGTTTTTGGCAAATTGCTTTGTGTAGATGACCTAATCCGATGAGGACACGACCCCATGCGCTGCGCAAGCTGTTTTGCGCATACGAGTACCAGTGTAGGAAAAACTTTAAATTCAAAATGTGTATTTTAAATTAACTCGCATATGTATAAACATATATATACTCATCTAGCGTCGAATTCTGTTTATTCGCGAGTTCAAACAGAGAAAAGTTGATAAGGCAAAAAAAAAAATGCTATAAACGTGTATTTAACAAAGGGAAGTTTTGAAAACTAGATACAGCAGACAGAACTAACCGTTATTTGAAACCCACTGCTTAGCCCTGCATCAGCGACCCACTTTTTTGTCCAAAAATAATTTGTTCGATCACCTGCAAGCCTCCACGAATGGAGGTTGATGACGTTATCTGGTAACTATTTGGACAACAGTAGTTTTTTTTCGAGCAAAGATTGCCAGTTAATATAAGAGTTAGCATCGTACATTGTGTCAATGACACCTAAAGGTTTTACTTAGCAAAGAATCGTACGAAGAACATTGAGGATGCCGCATGTCATCTATCAAACAGTGGTATTTTCCTGCCCCGAAAGTTACTGGGCTAGTAATATAAGCAAATGTAAGTGACGCAGGTGCTATGCCAGCAATTGTTAACTGCTCAAGTAGTTTGAACCGTCCAGACCACCAACATAAATACTGTCGTCCAATAGAAGCAACCTAAGTATTGACAATATAGTCTAATACGACCTAGTCTATTTCGTCGAGAAAATTAAGGACGGGCTAACGATAGGGCAGAATTTTAGCTGAAATTGTCCTATTTGGATTCACTTTTAATTACGCTAGCCAGTGTGAGTGAGTAAAGCTGTAAAAAAAAAGTACTATAACGTCTAGCCAAACAGGTTTCGGATCCATTCCATAGTTATACCAAAGTCGACATCTTTCGTTTTCGATTGCAAAGCGAAGTTATTAAAGGTAACCGAAGCAAGCTTTAAGTTTATTAAAACCTAATTAACACCTTCGATTCAACAAAACGTGTACAGTAACCAGTAGTAAATATAAAGCAATGTAGTTTTTATAAAAAAAAAAAAAAATCAATATACCATATGTAAACGGCTTTGAATTATGAGTATAAGCTTGAGCTAGAAAACCTGACATATGAAATGAATTTTTTTTACTTTAGGAAACGATAAGCATCTTCCTAACGGCTTTGGCGGGCGTCTGTTGAGGCGTACCTTTCTTACTTACCGCTAGATCCACACTTAGGGCGCTAATCGGTACGTTTTGTTTATCATAAACAGCCAAGCTGCGTTACCAACTCTGTCATGGAAGCTATAACAGACAGTTTGATGGGTTATGTACATTGTAAATAACGTATATGCGTTCTAATGGCTCCACTAGTACCGAAAAGCAATCCAGCCATTTCAAAGGCTTTCCTTTTCCTAACACACAAGCCAGTTTCGGTACAGGACCTGTATTTTAATAACACACTTTTTTCTGTTAAACGATAAAAAGGACATCGAACCAAGTTGAATCCAGTGACCTATCAAAATTCACAGACCTAATAGCATCGATATCAGTGTTCATCTACGTATATGTACTAGAACACAATCTGCTTACTTACGGGTGGTTTGGTGTACTGTTTATTCGATAGCCAGCTAGTTTTTGCAACAGATGTCCTATTGCGTGGATTGTTCATGGTTCCCGTGCCGCTATTATTCAGCGCGTTGACGCTGCATATATTTTCTTAGAAGTATTTTATCGATTTCGGAAATAGTTAAATAGATATTTCCGTAGCTAAACAACCTCTTGCCCCACAGACCTAACAGGACGCATTTTGTAATTGTCTTTTTTTGCTTCCATTCAATTAAGCGTTAGTACACCAAATCCGAAATCAGATTTAAGGAAAGCTTGCGATGTTATAATGAACGTGAGTTTGACTTGTTGAGTATTCAGCAGCATCAAATAGGTCCTTAGGTGGAGCTCTACGCCTTTGTCTTCGGTTTAGGCGAAATTTTGTGCCCTTTCTAAGCTCTGCTGTCCTGGGCACCAACCGGCCGTTAGTGTTGCATCGAAAACATTACGTTCAACATCTCCAACTTACTTGAAATCATTCATACTTTTGAAATCGGTACGAAGTAACCTGCCGTAGTCGCTCATTGATCTAAATCCCTAGTAATTACCGAATTTTTAATTAACTAATTAATATAATTCGTATTCGTCAATTAACTCGTCAAGTGACGAACACGAATTATATTGTAGGCCAAAAAGAATATTGCATAATGTTTCAGCTATAGCACTATCGAGGGCAGTTGCAGCAACAGCTCCAAATTTAGAAAAAGCTGTTATAACGATAATAATTCACGCATCCACGCGCTGACGGCACTATGGGCGTAGTATCCGTCGCAGCTGCCATTGACTTCCTCATCTTGTGTGGATTCAACCAAAACGATCTAAAGCCTGAGGCAAACCCCACCAAAAGCGACGTGATCTATCGAAAAAGTCGAAATAAACGGTCGTTATTTTATAATCTACGGTCTATCTCTTACCGTAGCGGATCGAGATATGTTGGGGTAAAATTCTTTGAATAGGCAATTATTTCGGCTGTTCAGTATTAGATTCTAACGCTATATAATACGAGCGTAATACTAGTTTATGTCCACATAGGCAGAATTATGTTTACAATTTTAACTAGACTTTTCGCCGACGGTTAGTGGATGGCCATAGTGCGACTAACGAGAAGATGCTGCGAGGGATATATTCTGTGTTTAATCAATGAAGGCAAACGTAGTACTAAAGCTTGCAAAATATAGCGCTGTAAACGAATGAATCTGAGGAATACTTCACAGAGATTAAACGGTGCAGGAAAGGACGTCAGCGGCGTTGAAGAGTTGATTCTAGTCATCAAAAGAGGTACCTCTATGCATCGACTGGCTACGCACGTCTACGTCCGTAACGGCAAATCCGTCTCCTTCATGAATTCAATATAGTATTTGTCAAACTGAAACAGCCATTGGATTTACTGAATACCTATTGAAAAAGTTCCTACCTGAGCTGTTGCTCTCGAATAAATGTTGACTCACTATAAAGCCTTAAAAAATCAGTGACTGACCTTGCATCAGCCAAGTATCCATGGGTAATGATTTTCATTTGCAGACGTTATGACAGAAGCGGTGAGCGACGTTATCAAGTAATTATACACGTAACAGTAATCTCTATGAACAAAGCCGCCAGCTAGTATGATTTGCGATGTCATGCGTTATTGAGTGGCATCTAGACAAAGGAGAGTAGTTAGAGTATAAACCGTTGTAAAATCTCACCGGGTATCGCCAGTATTAGGACGTGACATGACTTAAGAGTGTGTCATAAGAGCGCGACGGAGGAAACAGAACGTGGCGTGTGAAAACTGCGCACCTGTGGAGCTTGCTTGACTACGAGGTCAGCGTGTGTCCTTCAGTTTTCGTTGAGGAGACCTCAGAGACAACAGTAAGGCATTGCCAAGCGCAGACTCAGGTAAAAAAAAAAATAGTAATGTTCTACCAAGGTATTCTCAGGCGTACTCGGCTCTTGTTCTAAAAGTGGCAATAACTAACATGTGGCAGATTGCGGAGTTAACCATACAAGGGTGAATTTAGTAGAAAAATTTGAATTTGTTCTTGCCCAGGATAGCCGTGGTGACAGTCTATCGAAGATGAGTATCTACGGTTTTTTTTTTATTTTTATTTGAAATTATTATTATTATTATGGAGAATAATAGTCAATAAAAGCTATCGAAATAATACCACGACCACATGACATTAATTTTACTTGCCGTTCAAATAGTGAAAACTAAATACAAATGCAGTGGTATGCCAGTACATAGTTGACTGCGAGAATTTTTGTGTGCTTTTGCGGAATTCCAGATAAAAGTGGACACCAACAGAAGAAAATTTTAGTGATCAATCAAGCCCAACCAAAATGCAGCTTTCATCCCAAGTGATTAAAATTCTCCAGACAATCAACATGAATACTATCGTCGCTTGTATGGTAAAAGTGCTAACAATGTACTATGATATGGTCTAACCTATGGTCTAATCGATGAAGAAAATTATAGGCGAAGTAAAAGTTGGGCATATTTTTAGATAAATGTACCTAATCTGAACTAGTCTTCAAATTCGACATCACAGATGAATGGTGTCATAGAAATATAGTGTACAAATACGTAATTTCAACAGGTTCCGGTTTTGTCACTTAGGTATAAAGCAAATCGAACTGGTAGCAAATCTGTTGTCATATATTTGAAATAAATTTACCTTGTATTTACCTAAAAGAGGTTCAACTTAGCTTTAATTAGAATGGTTGGTGTTAGCGCTGTTGGAATTAAGCTAAACAACAGACGATTAATCGCTTTTAGGGGATGATGGATTCTTCATATGGAGCAACCCTACTGGATTTGGCAGAAGTCTTCCACACAAGTGTTCATGCCATATCCTTTACACTCACCACCAAATCGGCTGGTGCCTTATTTGGTGCGCTGATTAGTAAGTTTTGTCTATCTCTAATCGCGAGACAGCATTGTTTCTTTTGATCTTGCAATTTAAACTACACAATAATTTCGATTAAACGAATGTAAGAATTGAGATTAAAATGGACAGTTTGATAGGTGTCAAGTATATTATAAACTATCTATATATGGCCTAGTGAGCCTGGTTACACCAAGAAAAACCTGGCGACTCTCAGTTCTGGTTAGGAACCGTCTTTCGGTGGCCTAATTTCTATAATACTGAAGATAGTATGCACCAAATCGAATTGTTACGAAGAGTGTACTCTACGGCGCATTTCTTTAAATTTTTTTTAAGATATCAGGAGAACACAGTTACGTATGTTGTGTGGGGATTCAAATTGCTATACAAGCTTATAACTCGAGCTTGCAATCCTGATTTGATAAAACGTTTTTCTACCCTAAAAAATAGACATACCGCGTTAGCATTTTTTCAACGTATGGCTTCTTTTATGAAGTGATATTAGAGAATTTATGAACTCTTCCTCAGGTTTGCTCAAAGCAATCGTTGACCTGATTGCTTGGTTTGTTTTGTTACTCCTCCTTTGCCTCTCGAAGTTTTCTTTTCGTTAGATGATACCCTTTATGTGAAAGGTGTTCCATTCCACTCATTCATCGTTTGCCTTAGAATGCGTTTGGTATCCAGTTGCAATGGTTTCATGTGTCTGGCATCGTTTCGGGTCGTCCTTAAGGCCCGGTGCACTTCTTGATCGTGTGCGCTACATGATCTGTATACCCTAAAGTGCATAGAATACAGATGTTAGCAGCAATTTTTGTAATCCGTGCCCTGTACGCTTAAAATTGTTCATGTCCGGAGAAAGCCTAGGTGACGTAGTACGACACCTCCTTAAAAGGGTTAACAGACCATTACGTTAATTCTGGGGCAAGTGTTTTAGACCGTATATGAATCGGGAATCCAGCTGATCCAAAACCTGCTTCATTTGTTTAGAGTAGATATTTTGCCATTGTAAGATCGAATTATTCATCCACTGCTTTTGTCGCTTGTTCATCCACAAGGTGACTTCATGGTATCGTTCTTGCAATTATCAATATCGTTGCAGTCGCGATCGTTTTATAAGCCATAGCTACTCGGATCGTGGTTGCTCCTTGGGCCGATAGCGGGGCACGTCGGTTCTTTTTTAGTGCTAAAAGCCTACCCGCCTTTTCGGGGCAGGCATAGAGTACCGTATATTCTGCTACTGTAGCTCCTCTGGCGTGTTCTTTATTCTCTCCAATTATCGGTAAAATTTTCGCAAGTTTAACGCTTAGCTGACGGTATTTCGCTGCCGTATGTTCAACATGCGTTGAGCTAATGAGCGTCATGTCCTTAATGATACTTACAGATTGCCCCTTTCTTCCTGTAGAAATATGTACGGCTCCTAAGTTAAGAGTGAGCTTCTTCTTCTTCTTAATTTTCTTCCAATCCGTTAAAAAAACGTTGCGTCTACGGAGCAGCTTGCAGGTAATGCTCCGTCGTCCATTGCCAGAAGGTCCTCGTTACATGCGGCGACAACCAGCGTTAAATCATCAGCATATGCCACCTGGTCCGATTTTTTCGTCAGCAACTGCGACACTTCATCATAGCCCAGATTCTAGTATCGATCTAACAACTGAGCCTTGTGGGATATTGGTAGTAACTCGCCAGCATCCTAATTGAGCACCCTTCTTATAGCTGCATTCATGGGTCTTGTGCTTGTAAAATCATAGTGGAAGTCTGACAACCCATGATTTTGCTGAATCCTTTTCTCGTAGTATTTCCAGAGGAACCTTCCTTATTACGTTAAATGTGTTCGGCAGCCATATCTGTCTGTAGGATAAACCACCCGGTTTAAACGTCAGAACCAATTCTGTTTTTCTCCCAGACTGTAAGAAACTTCTCTTTTCTCAGAAACCTGTTTGCTAGTCCTTAACTTCAAACCCCAGAGCTTGACAGCGCCCGGATGGCCATCATTAGGTTCTGGTGCCTTTCCTAGTCCTTCTCAGACGTCCTCTACCTCTTCCATCGTTCCGTCTGAAGTGACTTCGTTATTGACTTGTATGCAGTCCTTCTCTCTAGCCGTTTACGTTATAAACAGGAATCCGATCATCTTCCTTATAGCGTTAGGTGGTAGTCTGGTGAACCTTTTTTTAGCTTATTTGTGACGATGCGGTGCAGAAGCCCTCATGTTCGGATTTCTATAAGCTCTTCGTTCGTTCGTTCGATTTATTTCTTTTGCTATGCTTGATAAGCTTCCTCTTGCTCATTCTTGTCGCTTTAAGCTCGTCCTATCCCCTTTTCTTCCTTCGGTTCATTAGTTCTTCCTCTCCTCGCTCTTGATCATGTGGTCTTCCCCCTTAGCCTTAGACCTAATGTATCTTCTGCTTACACTATTTTTCCATTCCACTAGTAGTTCAGCAAATATCTGCATCGTTCTTACCTAGGCATCCTCAGATCAATCTATTTACACGCCAAGTGTGTTTCGACTTTATTTGTAAAAACGCCTAAAAGTTTAACCTAATCTGGTCATCTATAGACATTGCTTGACCATGCTCAAATCATGGATCCAACCTGAGAGCAACAATATTCATTCCCAAATATACATATCTGCTAAAGCACAAATCTGCTTGTTTCCAGGTGGTTTGATGTACCGTTTATGCAATATCCAACTAGTTCTGGCCGTATGCGCCCTACTGAGTGGACTATTAGCGGTTCTCGTCCCATTGTTACCGAACGTGATAATGTTGCATATCGTTTCCTTTATACTCGGATCTATTTTATCGACTGCTGACGTAGGTAAGCAAACATTACCATAATGACATTAGTAAAGCCACGCAAGAAAATAGAAGGCCACCATTTTTTGTCGTATGAAATTTCATGATTGCCTTTTGCATGCTTTACTGTCAGTTAAGACGACTGGTCAGACACCAGTCAGAAATTATATTTAACCCAGGCATGCGATGCTCTTTTCGGTTTGATTGTCAGGGATGCACGTGTGGATACAAGTTATTTGGAGGCATAAGGCTGGCTTTCAGCTGCAGCTCTACAATCTTGTATTTGGTTTAGGCGGAATTGTTGCGCCATTCATCTGTGAACCGTTCCTAAGCTCCAGCATCCAAAACATAAATCACTCGTTAGTAATACTTCCGTCGCGCTAGGTTAAACAGCTCCAGTTCATCTTAGATTTTCCCTTTTTCCTATTTCCCAATACGTTATCTTTGAGCTGAATGAAAAAGTGCCCCAATTCAATAGCCTCTCGGGCTAGATGCTTAATATTTATCTTTACAAATATGAATTTCATTGCAGATCAGGAACATTACATAGTGCGTCAGACACCGTACTATTAGACACGACTGCAGCGACGGCTCTGAATTTAGAAAAAGGGATAAGAAGTGCCTCACGCATCTATTTCGCTTACGGTATTATGGGCGGAACATTGCTTGCAGCGGCCATTTCCATTATCGTCTTGTACACATTCGACAGGACCGATCCAAAGCCCGGCGTAGACTCTCCAAAAAGCAATGAAGATCTGCCGCAAAAGTCAAAATACACAATCATTACTTTATTATCCATTTACCTGTTTCTCGGTATCATAGACGAGGTCACATTTTCTGCGTATCTGCCAACGTTTGCAGTATGCCAGGAGAATTTACGCTTGTCTAAATCATCTGCTGCTTACTTAGCATCCGCATTCTGGACGAGCTTCACGATCGGTCGACTCTTCGCAACGCTGCTCACATTAAAATTCAGTCCCGGAAAGTTAATAGCTGTCTTCCATTTCATTTTGATGATAGCCACATTAGGAATGCTATTCTATATTAAAGAATCAGTGCTTGTAGTATGGCTGGGCACGATCATGGTGTCATTTGGATTGGGACCGTTTTTTGGAAATGCGACCGTTTGGGGTATTCAATATATAGTTTTGACGCACAATCATATGAGTGTAATATTTATTTGTGTGTGTGCAGGAATGACGATACCAGGTCTGCTAATTGGGCCCTTCATTGACAGTTACCCTATGGTATTGATGTGGGGCCATGCAGTACTTGCGACAACTCTTACGGGGTGTGCCATTTTACTACTGATCTATGGGCGAACTTCATTACTCCAAGAGTTTAAGCGGAAAAAGGCCAATAAGGATAAAACTTAGGGCGGCAGAGTCTCCGGGGAAATTGGAAAATTATCGTCACGGGAATACATTTTAATGAAACGAACTCAGCAATGTCTTCATGAGCAGTTTCACCATTATTACTATCGTATAATCGATGCTGCTTTAAATGCGCCTGCTAGATATAAACGTTAGAATTGTCAAGGAAGTCAACAAAACTAATGTCGCAAGCTGCAAATCTGTATACTTATGTGTAAATATATCACTAGCGATTCAACAATAAACAGACTATCATCAATACGCGCGTTAACCATAAATCACCTTTACGCTGGCTTTTTTATGATATTTGTATATTAATTTAAGAATTATAATAAAATTAAAATTACCTGTCGTAAATATCTTCATTTTCCTTCTATGTGGGAAAATTGTATATTGAATTGACCAGGCATCCGTTTGCTAAACCACAAGTTCAAACAGTTAACTCTTAGCTCCAATATCCTACTTATCATCAATGCAAAACGACTTTTTGCAGACCAGAAGCGTCCCTCAAAATGTTTGATTGTTTTGGTTTTTTATCTTTGCGATAATTGAGATATATCATAATTAAACTCCAGACGGCGGGTAGGAAAAAGCATTGCAAAATATTGTATTTTCGCTTGACGGAATACAAAGGAGAAACAGCATCTCGTTGAAATTCACTCTATTTATTACTTACGCTAGTTCATCATGTATTCAATACAACTAGCCTTTAACTATCAGTTAACCACGGTTGGCGGCTACAAATCAAAAGTTGCAAAATAATCTTCTCAGTACAAGGGTTAGCACTCAGCGGTGGTTTGGGAAAAGTCACTTGTGGCTTATTTTAGGCTTGTTCGTGTAAACGATCGACCCTGCATTTTGGGTTACAATCGAAGGCAAAAAAACAGCCTAACCCACCGCCTTTTTTAGAAGTTGGTCGCACATCGAACTATGCTACTCCAAGTGGTAATTTCGCTCCTAACGCAAATGAACTATATCTGGGCTGGCCCTTAGAAAATCAGGACATCTATACTGACTTGCATGATCGAGCAAGGATCCTATCGTTATGGCAATACAAGGCAATTTAAAGCAGATTCTATTGAAAAGCAAGCATTGACGTAAACTTTTACAAACCCCCACAATGGCTACATGGTATGCCAATATGCGATGGTAATAGCACTAGCAACAGCGAACTGTTCGTTGAAATCTCATTCTGCTGAGCACATTGTGGATTCATTGCCAATACGAAATGCGGCGGACCACACTTTATCTGACGCTGCACTTTTGAGTGGGAGCGGTCTTTTAAAGCAGCCGGGACTCGCTCGTTAGTGTATATGAACAGAAGACTGCTGTTCTGTAGAATCGTTTTTTTTTTCTGTTTATTCATCGTGCGATAATAATCCGAGAAGCGAAAATACCACATAGCAGCCATCCCTTGTTGTTACGGCTAGTACTCCGACAAGTATGCCTGTAAGCTAATCAGATATAAAATACTTGTAGATAATACCTATCCGATGAACATGGCCATGGTTGTTAACAAATAACTTTTTAATCAGTAGCCTAGTAAAGTTATTATGTACGATCAATTATCAGTAGCGCAGAGCCTATTTCATGTGGGCCGAATCTGGGGCTCAGTCTCAATGGTTGGACTTAGTCCAGCAGATACCTCTATTGATTACTTTTCAATTTTTCGCCCATATTTCACTCCGCCAACCTGGATCTTCATTTAACAGTACAACGGGCTGGTGAAAGGGAGTGACAGAAACTTACCGCGGCGACCGACTGGAGTCACCCATCGGGTTTCTTGCCTTACCAAACGCGCTGCATCTCACACGAAGGATGTTCCTCCGGGTCTTTCGTAAACCCAACAATAAATCAGCGCCATTTACATAAGTACGCATGTCCTGCGTTGATTTCTTTCTGCAGAGATATAATCCTTCTTAGTCGAAGAAACTATTCCCTTTCTTTTTGAATCTCGTTAGCTATCGTTACGCTCAGCTGCTATTCACCTATCGTCGTGTAGATAAATTCCATCAAGTAGGCAAGCTGATTTCGCGGAGCCTTAAAAATATTTCTTACACGTGGCTCATTTTCTCGCAGCCATTGTCTTAAAACTTTTGTTCTCGCTGTAATTCTAGCCACCTCTAGGTTAAAGCAAACCAGCAAGGCTGAACGGCTGAGTCTTCGACGTGCTGATTGCAAAAACCCTCGCCAATTCTGTATAAGTAGGTCCTGGCTGGAACACCACCGTCAAATCTGAAGGTGAAAGGAAGATGGAGACTTTGGGAACATGGCCCGTAGAAACAAAGGTAAAAAAGGAAAAATAAGGAACAATTGGAGCCTGCAGGCAGAACGGGCCGCAATTCTTACAACCAAGCATGGAATTCGAATGCGTTACCTCATCCCAGACATCGCAAAACGTCTGGACCGCCCAGTGCTAAAAATGGTTACATACCATTCAAATTAAATAAAGCGGTACTCATTTTCTGGTTATGATGTCAAGAAGCTACCATCCATGAAAGACTGTCAAAAACTTTACAGACATTCGGGAAGATGGCCAGGAACACCTTCTGTATCCTCAATGTCGAGCTACGTAAAGAAATGTGCTTCACCAATTGCGTGGTGTATTGAGATGAACCCTTGTCTGTGTTTACGGAATCCGTTCTTTGTTGAAGTTATTACATTTTTAGTCCGTTCTCTCTAGTTGCCTTTAAGACTTTGGCGAACGAGCTGACTAGGCCTGAAATCTGTTTTTTTTTTTAATATTAGTACGATCTCGATCATTTTTGAGCTGGCCTTTTCGGAAGCCCTTGATAGCCGTTGCTGCGACATTTTCAGGGAATTCCTTGAAGAGAGTCAGCCCACACCTTTAGCGTACCGGCTTTACCCACCTAGATTACACAGCTCAAGCGCTGATAATTTTGCATACCTTTATTTGCCCTTCTCAGAATTTTCCCGCGGCCTCTAGGAGACCATTCTGTGCGAGAACCATGTAAAACTTTCTTTCTGTCCTTCTTGTTTTAAATTTTGAACCGGGGTCGAAAGGCAGCGGGAGGTGCCATGCTTCTTTTGATAACAAGTATTCTGTAGTATAGTGATTATTGAAGTTTCCCTCAGTGATACGTACTCGCCATTCAAAAATCAGGTTCACCATTCTTTCATTGCGTAGCAATAGTTAGATCTACAGAAACCAATCTGCAATGATACAGACGCTCCCGGTCAGTTCTGCTGCTTATCAATGCTGTGTTACGCTTGCTAACTAAACGTCTCATTCGTCTCTCACCTGCTCGTAATTTCCTCTAGCATAGCGTGGATAGCGTTGATTACAGCTAGCCTGGATCAACTTGAGGTGATCCATTGGACGGAATGGGTATTTCAGACGCGTCGTGGACTATCACGGTGTGACTGAAGTCTTGCGTAATGTATTCTTCAGCGTTAGATGAGACCCATTTCCTCTTTTTGTATTGCTGCTTCTTGTGAACAGTAGCTTGTGCTTTTTTTTCTTGAGCCTTACCTTCAACGGGTTCCTCGTTGGTAGCTCGCTTACAATCTAGGATCGCCTTCCTGAAAACAGGAGGTATCATGAAGTTGGCTGCATGACCCTCCACAACGCACACATAGATTTGGTTCTATAAACCTTTATGGCGAGGTCGCTATCCCTGGTCTTTGTAATTGAGTTTATCTTAATCTCGGCCTCGTCTGGTTTGATATTGTTACCCATTATGCGGAAGATGCTCCCGATAGTGGAGGTCTTCTAAGTTCTGACAGTACGTTGGCCGGTAGTACCAGGTTGCATGGGTCTGCCTGGCCCTCTGTAAGAACTGTTAACCCTAAGCCTCTCGATTTTCCGCAAAGCTAACTGAAAGGTGCCAGTCAGCCGTTCGAAAGCACTTCATATTCCTCTGACATGTGGAGACTCGGCGGCCCCAAGCTGAAAAGCTCCTTAGTGTTTTCAATAATCTAGGTGAGCATATACAGAAAACTGGAGCTATGTTAGTATCCAACATGCCTAAAGTGAGCCTTCTTGTAAAAATCTGGGGGTTCACTAATTCTGGTTTCCTGCGCATCCATCAGGTGGGCGTTTTGATGATCTGGATATGCTTAGGGTCTATAATTCCTTCTAGATAATTGGGCCGTTTATCGAAGCTTGACTGGCGATGACAATGAGCCACCTCGCGCTTGTCAGTCCACTCACCGCAGGCAGGGGCATAGTATTTTTGTATGGCGGGACGCCGCTACTTAGAGAACTTGAGAGAAAAGGAGTCGATAGAGAAAAACAGGTGAAAGGCGCCAAAAACATGTTAAACGCTTAAACAATTAATTTACATAGGCAAATAGTACATCCTTACTGCTATCGTCTGTTCTATTCAAACACTCAGAGTAACGCATTGATTAACCCGGCAACTAACTACTGAAAGTACTATGTGGTATTGAACAAGCACATTTCGTCAAGAAGAACAAGAGGCCGATCATGGCAATATCAGTGAGAAACAACAATTTGCAATTATGTGCAAAACTCATTCTTGTACAAATGTAACATAAAACATAAACGAAGATCTGTTTTACATCAATAACAGCTTGCCGAAAATAGCCTTTTTGCGGCATTTGAGTGTATGATATAGGGTCCTACAAAGTTTGAAGTTAATCCTTTAATCTGTATAATAATAACGCTGCCCAATAGCTAATACGAATTACTTAATGAAGAAATTTTCTTATGCGATTGGATCTAAACAATACTATAAATACCGCTTAGAGCAAAATTATCTATGCTGAAAATGCCTATTTCAACGAGATCACGGGACGACCAAATAAGGCATGCTTACGTATCCCCAGCCCTTCAACTGCCTCTCCTTTAGATGTCCTCAACCCTAGAAAGAGTTGTCTCTTTTTAATACATAGTCAAAACGGGGCATGCGAGTGAAAAACGTTAAAGAATCTATAGGGTAATGAGGCCTGGATAGAGACCAGCAAGGAATGCTGCCGCTTTGGCTGTCTCAGGAGATAATGGCAGTGGCGATAATGGGGTGTGTTTATGCCACTTTGATTAGCGCGATCCATCTCATAATGGCGACTACAATGTTGATGATTAACTCGTGCTTGCAACTGATATTGAGCAATGAAAACTTTACACTGAAGCACATAAGCTGCACTCTTGCTTTTCCCACCCAAAAAGGAAATGGAAAGGATAAATCCGCGAAGGAGATTTGCTTTATTCTGCACCATCGAACTGAGTTTCTTTTTTGACGAACACGATATTTCGAAGTTCAGTGTACTTCATGTTTGCTGCTTTTACTGTCGCGAAGCAGCAGGCGTTCACCGGCTAAAATCGATGAAAATCGAATGGCGTCATGAATGAAAGCACAAAAAAAAGA